GGGAGAGGTCAAATCTCAAAAATTTTGTTTTCAAAATGTTCCTCGTCATGTAATCTATTGGAATATATGGGTCGTTTTCGTGTAGAAAGGGTGGCAGATTTCGTTACTTATCCGGCGTGGTCCTTTACTACACTAGATCAGACTAATCAAAAGTTATATCTTGTTCTTTATAGATTGTCTTTTAAATAATCTAAAACTAAGAATACAAAAAAACTAAAAATTAAAGTAATAAATTTACTTCTAATTTGTACTTGATGTCTCTGTGACTTTCTGTGATAAACTGCATACTTGCATTATCTTGTTGCTTATATAATCAGTCAATCAAAATTCAGCCATGCGTTGAACTTAAACTTGAAGCTGATTTACCCTACATACTGTACATTAGACCACGGAAAAAAACGCTTTTGATTTTCATCAATGATTTCATTTGTTTATGGTGTATTTAGATATGTTGAAGAACTGCTAAACTTCCATAAAATTATACTAGATCCATTGCTTTTTTGCCGATAATCTTATTTGTTATAATGTCTTATTCAGTTTGAGAAGATAGGTATTTAGCAGAATATTTTAGACACTTAACAGCAGCGAAATGTTAGAAAAAAGTGTAGCTTCCAGCTTGTAGCATCTGAGATTAAGTAAGCACGAAACAAAGTTATTGTCTGATAGATTTGATTGTATGTCTATTTTTCCAGGTAAAAGCTTTGAAATATTTTTTTTGCCTGGGTCAACGGTAAATAAAATTTTAGAAAAATCTTGACATTGTAAATCTGTGCAAAAAACTAATGATGATGATATTAAGTATGACGATGAAAGCAAAGATGGCAGAAGTAGGAAATTAGGTGGCGGGATTGAATATATTACGATGAAAAAAAGAACATCGACACAATTATCAATGAATATTCATTATTTAAAAGATTTGAGTCAAAATCATTAAGAAAATATTAAAATTTATTTTCTGATTCGTCCATTTTTCTACATCATGCTTTTATACGTATTTATTTTCTTTTTTAACTGATATCAACTTCTGTTTATAATTATCGTGCTATTGACTTCTGATATTTGTGTTTGTATATTATTGAAAATTATGAAAATATTTTTGTAAATATTAGTAAAGATAATATTAGAATTAGATATGATTTGAATAAAAAAGAAAATACACTTTAGTTGCTTACATGAAAAAGATTGAAGAGATATTCGAGTTTTAGCTAAATGTTGTCATGCATACCTAATGGGAATTGACTTTTATGCTGTGCTTTCTCTTTGGGTTTACTCATATAACTTTTGTTTATTTGTAGATGTATCGTCAATTCTTTTCACAACTGTGCAAAGTGGCTCGTGCTCCGACATCTGTTTATAGTCCAAAACAGGTTTTATCGCTTACTTCTTTTTTACGATCGCATCATGAACAAGCGCAACAAACTCAAGAATGTGGACATATTGTGTATCCTCAACTATTGAAACAAGCACCCGATTTTAAAGGTCAGGCTGTTGTTGATGGAAATTTCAAAGAAATTAAATTACAAGATTATAAGGGAAAATATCTGGTCCTTTTTTTTTATCCATTGGATTTTACGTTTGTCTGTCCAACAGAATTGATTGCATTCAACGAGAAATTAGAAGAATTCCATAAGATTAATACTGAAGTTGTTGGATGTTCAACGGACAGTGTTCATAGTCACTTAGGTAAGAAAATACGCCGAATAAGCAATTGAGAAGAAACATACTTTGTTCCTAGAAGCATCATTCTTGAATGCAAATAGTGTGTCATTTTGTGGTATTATTTTAGCTTGGATCAATACTCCTCGTAAGCAAGGTGGCTTGGGCGGTTTGAAGTATCCCCTGTTATCTGATTTTTCTAAAGACATCACACGTCGTTACGGAATATTGATTGAAGATCAAGGTATAGCTTTACGGGGTTTATTTATCATTGATTCAAAACAAGTTTTAAGACAAATTACTGTCAACGATTTGCCCGTTGGAAGATCGGTAGATGAAACTTTACGTTTAATTCGAGCCTATCAATTTGTCGAAAAACATGGAGAAGTATGTCCAGCAAACTGGGACCAAACAAAAAATCCACAAACAATTAAACCAGATCCAATTAAATCAAAAGAATATTTTCAAAAACAAGTTTAAACAGTAAGCATTTATCAGTCCAATTTACGTTGAGCAGTGCAATAAATTTTTTGATTAGATAATTTAATTTGAAGATTTGAATGATCTATTTCTTTTAAATTGAAAGAATAACTTAGCTGTGTCTGTTCTTAAATATTGATTATATTTTTGTTTTTTTGAAAAGAGCATTAGAACATGTCTCTCTTGACAATTCTTCCTGTTTCTCTTTTTTTGCAATAAAATAAACTTATAAGACCTTTTAAAAGAGATATATAGAATTTATATAACTAGCAGATGATATTTTGTTTTCGAGGTTTGTTTTGTTATCTCTGTCTTACCTTCATCTTATTATTTTTATTATAGATCAAACTATGTTACCCTATTCCTGTCGTACACCTCATAAAAGTAACATCGATTATGGGCGTAAAGCAGACGATTTAGTTAGCGGGTCATCTAGTTATCTTGATCAAATAAAATTAACTTTATCATCATCATCAGAACTAAAACAAAACTTGCCTCTAATATCTTCATTATCACCTCGTAGAATTCGCTTAGATTCCGACGGCTCATCATTATCATCGTTTGGTGCTAGTGACATTGAACGATTTTTAGAAAAATCTACACTTATATCTCAGATATGTTCTCCAAGAGAACGCCACAGGTAAAAATATGGATATGCATTATGTACAGCGAAATTTTGTGAAGTGACGTGGGCTACAATTTTCATTGTTTTTTCTTTTAGTCCTGTTAAACCTTCATCTTCTTCGCTAGAGTCTCCGGTAATTTCTTCCAATTGTCAGATAACGTTGTCTTATGGTGAAGATGATGACGAAAATTTTGAAACGCGAAAATCAAAAATATCTTCATCATTGAGACTGAAACCTCAAAGTCCCAGTCAACAACGTCGACGAAATCCATTGGTTATTAATAATTATATGCAATTATGGGCATCATTTCAGTTAGAAATGCCATCGTTAGCATGTTGCTCAAGTGATACACATATTTTAGTCTATGAATATTCATCTAAATTAGTTTTGTTTAGCAGAGATAAGAAAATACGTGAAATCGAATGGAATTTTGAACAGAGAGGCGGTGTCAACGATATATGTTGGTCAAGATTTATGCATCGTTTCTTGGTGCTAAGCGAAAAAACGTTATATACGTACGAAGCAGCAACAAATCAACTGGATATAGTAGACCAAATTAAACCGTTGAACGATGGAATTCAAACCGGTAAGATTGTACATGTTTTTTTTAAACTAGGGATAGGAAATCTCTGCATTTTCAGCTGTTCCACTTAGAAATTTGAGAAATACTTTAATATGTTTAATAGTTTATCGAAAGTTTGACAATTATATCTTGTTTTTGTTTCAGGTGATTTATTATCATTAACAAATTATTATTCTCGTGATGTATATTTGTGTTATGACGAACAAATTGTTGTTGATCAGTATAAATTGCCTTTATGGTCTTTCGTTAAACAATGGACAAAGTCAGATATTTGTGACAGATCAACAAGCATATATGATCAAAGTATTGGTTGTATACGTTCAAATGGAGAATGTATTGGATTATCAATATTACAAGAAAACTGGACATGGCGATTTGATTTATTTGATTTAAATATGATATGTTTACGTAGAAATGTTGGTGGATGTTCGAGAAACGATGGTTCATCCTATATATGTATGTTAACTCCATTACATGATGACAAATGGCTGGTTATGAATGGAAATGTCGAATATTCATCGATTGTTCATGCTAACGGTGATAAACAACAACTAAGCTATAAAATATTGAATTCGGCTTTATTTGATTTCGGAAATTGTTTAATTTGTAGATTATCCAAGCCAGAACGATTAGATATTTGTTTTATTTAATCGTGTATGCTAGTAGTATTATTGTACCTGTAATTGTATGTTCTATATATGAGCATCAATGAAGAATAAGATAGATATCTCTACAAAACATAGTTTGGGCAACTTATCCAAAAGTCCAGTGGACTTTAGTCTACAGTTGTCATGCAGAAAATAGACTGCGTAAAAGATCTGGAATACTCTGAATATGTTAGTTGTCTTTATTTATTGATTTCGATTAGAAAAGCCCATAAAAACATGTTTAAGATTGAATTATTTGCCTTTTAGATTATTATTTTTATTTGAAAACAGAATAACGTTTTCTTTTTAAGTCATCCTCACCGTTTTCGGTCTTATTTAATTATTTTATGTCTGATTGTTGTTAGCATTTGGGTGTTCGTTATGCAAGCATATGGTCGATATGATTTTAATGCAACAGCACAAGATGAACTTAGTTTTCCGAAAGGAGCTATACTCAAAGTAAGCAAGAGCCTATTGTTTTATCTTTTCTTGAAATCTAAATAAATCTTGAAGGTTAAAAATATTGTCTATTCCGAAATTTGCTATTTTTTAATTTACAATTCTTGACTACTTTTCTTGCCAGGTCCTTAATATGGAAGAAGACATGAATTGGTATAAAGCCGAATTACATGGTACAGAAGGTTATGTGCCCAAAACATACATTGAAATGATTCCGCATCCGTACGTGCTATTACGATTTTCTTTTTCCACTTTTTCTCGCCGTACTAATCGTGTTCACTTATTTTAGGTGGTTTTATGGTGGAATTGGACGCGTTGAAGCCGAAAAGATTTTGTTACAAAAAGATATGACTCATCATATGAATGAACCAGACGGCGCATTTCTTGTACGAATGTGTGAGAGTTCACCTGGAGATTTCTCATTATCTGTCAAGTACGTGTTTTTGTAGTGAGTCACTATTTTGATAGTCAAATTCCCTCGAAGTGGACGCTTCCTAGACTCCTCTATTTTAACGTATCATTTTGTTATTTTTTATTATCAGATGTCAAGATCAAGTTCAACATTTTAAAGTGTTACGTGATGGTATGGGAAAATATTTTTTATGGGTCGTTAAATTTGATTCTATAAACGAATTAATTGATTATCATCGAACAACATCGGTTAATCGAGGGCAAACTCTACTTTTAAAAGATATGTTATCATTAACAAATAATAACGAACGTCAAAAACAACAACAAACATCGTTTGTAAGTCTGTTCAAACATTTGTGAAATTAAAGAAGTATTTTTATCTTGCGATGTTTTATAGAGATGAAATCTTTTCGACGATCAGTTAGCATTGATATGATTGATTAAATTTAAGGCTGCTGCTCTCTTTTCCGTAAAAATTTTCTGTAAAAATTTTGAGTTGAACATAGGCTAATGTGGAGAATAGTCTGGGCTACAAAATAAGACCACTTCCAGCATTCTATGAACTTTTTGGAAAAAGTTATGAGTTTTATTAAATTTTGTTTTAACAGACTAACAAAAGATATAGGGCTTTCAAAATCAAAAATCGACGTTTTTACACGCTTTTACCGTTTTCTTTTAATACATTTAGAAGGACAAATGAGAAATAAAAAGAACATCTGAATTCTGAGATATCCTGGGTATCCAAAGCTAACTTTTAAGCACGATCAGATGATGTTTCGATGAGGTCATAATGTACACTACTGCTGTTTTGAGCATCACAGGTAACAGGTTACTTTTTGTTCAGCGCATTGGCGATGTTTATAACTCCGCGATAATCATTTGAAAATTTTTGAAGGCCTCATTATGAACTTTACTCCATCTGACAATGTGTAAGAAATAATTGTGAAGACACTGGAAAGGAGAAAAACATTTAGAAAATTAAAAAAAATCGAATTTTTTAAGCCTTTTGAACCAAAATTTTCAAAACCCATCACTTTTTCCAAACGTTCGCAGAATGTCAGATGTGGTCTTATTTTGTAACCCAGTACCCCGATTATTCAACTCAAAGTCGAAAATTTTTTCAAAGAGGGGAATACTCTTGAATTACTCGTTTTTATATAAAGGCTAGAACATCAGAGTCTTTTCTCTCTTGAACGCTAATTTTCAGATTGACCATTTATTCTGTTTTAATTAGAATGCTCAACAATCTGTACAACAGCCAGTACAACAACAATCATCGTCATCAAAAAGTCAAATGTATCAAGCAACTTATGATTTTGCACCTCAAGAAGAAGGTGAAATTGAATTGAAACGGGGAGATCGAATACGAATTATTGATCAGTCAGATGTGAACTGGTGGAAAGGTAAACAGATCGTTTAGATTTTATATTCTAGAAACTCGATAATCATTTCATTTATTTTATATTATGTTTAGGAGAAGTTCGAGGTAGAATTGGTTTATTTCCGGCGACGTATGTTCGTGAAATATAGAAACTCGTGTTATATGAGCTAAATGAATCAAAAATAATAATAAGTGGATGTAATGTCAACAACGTTCACTACCATCGTCTTAATCCCTCTTCAAATAATATGTGATCAGCTTTATTTTTTTTCTTTTTTTTAGGATGTATGTGTACTGCGCTAATAATTTAGTATAATATTATATTCAATTAGTTTACTCTCCATGTACATATCTTTCTTTTCCTTGTTCACATCGTTCATTTTTTTCTTAATCTATAGCGTGTAGGTTTTTCTTTCTGTTGTTCCTTATTTCAGTTTAGCAGATAAACTTTCTTACTTTTGTCACTGCTTCTTTTTTTTTGTCGTTGACATAAATTTTTATGTCTGATCTAATGCGTAATGAAAGAGATTGTTGCATTTTTCACAGAAGACTAGTAATCCTTTCAGTTAAAATATGATCAAAAACTACTCAGATCATGTCTAATTTGACTGAAACTTTTACAGTATGAAGCCAAAACCCTTGCCAGGAAAAATCTGAAAGTTTAATTAATCGTAGAGTTTGGATCCATTCTTTGATAGTATTGACTACCTAATACATAGAAGAAAGTAATTGTTCAACATAAACTTTTTGCAATAATCAGAACATCTCAAATTATGCAATCTTTCTTTTTATAGTGTGTATGTATTTCCCGACCCGTTTCCACATTTTTTCTTTCAGTTGTTTTGCATTTACTGTTGTTCTATCGATCAAGTTAGGATCCGTAAGGCAGAATTATCAATCACTCTTAAAGATTAAAAGTATCATTTGTGTGTAAGTCTAAAACATCAGACTATCCTGAATGTCTTTCTTCTTATTAAAGAATTCCGAAACGCATGTCCATAACGAATTTTTGATTTTTTTTAAAGAATGGTTTCCTCGAATAGGTAAAAATTGAATTTGAATTCAGAGATTGTGAATATGTCTAGAGAAACACTTGAAAATGTTGAAAATTTAATAAATACATCAGACATATTGTATACTATTTTATTACCGTTTCGACTCTCTATAAACTATACAGAGAAGGTTTTGTATTCGGTTTTTCTAACTCGTACTCTTTTTTCGTTCATTTTTAACAAAAACTTCCTCACGTTAAAGACTAACAACTATTCAAGAAATGCGTTATCATTCAGATAAACATTGATATTTTTTATAAAAAAAGAGTCATAGGATTAATTAAATTAAATATAGCATTTCATCTGTCAAGATGTTTAAAAAGATATTTTTCTGTGGTGAAAGTCTCGGTTGAATTAAACAAATGGCAAAAAATTTATAGTCATTGTTAGCCGCTGGATCGACTTAATATTACTATAAGTTTTATGTTCACTGCATATTTTGGATATTCGAAACACTAAGATTTTCAAATGTTCATTCATTTGTAGTCGATATCTGTATGGTTCACTGTGTACTACATTTTACTGAAGAAGTCAAAGTTTATATTAGTTTTATTTAAAGAGTAACTCCCAGTCATATATATCCAAGACCTGAATCACAAACGAATATATATATATATATACTCGCTTACAAAGTTGTTGTTTTTTATTGTGCAAGTATGAATTGCCTATTTTTTTGTTTTGTTTTTGTGCCAAGATCTGCTTAGTTTATGACTGAATATACACACAGGGACAACGAAAACTTTATGTTGATCACTAGTACTAAACACGTTTTTCTCTCTTTTTGTTGTTAAAAATACTTTATTGTTCCTTGTATGTTGTTCGTGAAATATTACATGTAATTCACACTCTGTACTGAGATAGATTTTATTATTAATATTCGTTTAAATTTTGGTGCTGCTTTTTGTTTCTCTCTTTTTTTTTCTCCATGAATCCAATAAATACATTTTCTAGTAAAGAAAAATTAAATAGTGAAATTTTTTAGCGTCATTATTTACAATTAAAATGGATGACTCCTTTCAAAAAGTCTTAATAGTAAATGCCAGTGAAGACCGTAAAATTGTATTAATTGAAATATTAAAGCTGTTTCTTCTTCTACATGTTTTACATTGTTGATTTATGTTCATGAAGTCAAAATCTTTCATGATCTCATAGAAGCACTGAATAGAACAAAAAATTACTAACCTAGTGTGGTTACAAAAATACAACTGGTCCAATAGATCTTCTAAACTTGGATGCTATATGAAAAAATAAAAATGCAAGATGTTTTTTTTCTTTTTGTGAATACCAAAGTGAGTGCATAGTGCCACAGTGTAGCAATGACATCTCAAAAACTATCTTCCGTTAATATATTTTGTATCAGCAGTGTCCAATATGATTTAAACTTCATTTTTACAGATTAAAAGCGGGAATAAATGTATTAAAATGTTCTAAAATTTAAACTATCGAACTACCCATGTATTTCAAAAGCGTGATTAAAAAACAGCAATCTCAGTTCAAGTAGTCGTTTATCAATTAATAGCTTTTCTAAAAGAGAAACAATGCTCATGTCTGTCTTTGATCAGCTTTCGCAACGACACATTCTTGAAATGCGAAAACGAGCGATAACACAGCATTTTATATAGAAAACAATCCAAAAAAATAGAAATCGAAGAGTTTTCTGGAACTCCGAAAGATCCTCAAGTGTGCAATAATACTGTTTGCTTTACTCAAACATAAACCCAGAAATCGATAGAAACTCGAAAGGTCTATAGCAGGATTCGTAAAAGTACTTCCAACAGACGACTACTTATTAGAGTACACTCTATTCTCCGATAAGCTAATTCTATCAGTTTTACGTTCAAACTGTTCCTTAAGATTTTCGCCGGTAGATGGCGTCCTCCGTGAAATTGGTTTTTAAATAAATTTTCTGTCACTGAACTGCTGTACACTCGTCATATTTAGGTATTGCATCGTACTTTAGGTTTGCTGGCTTCTTTGTTACTGCATTAGTATGTACTCTCTATTAGCTTTTCACTTTTGCCTCTTCTCATTGATTCATCCATTTGGCCATTTTTTCGTGTTTTACAGCGTTATGTCAGAAAAGAATACTCATATATTAAAAATGTATAAAGAACACATTTCTTCGAGTATGCCAAACTTGCCTTGAAGCATGGTCAGAACACACTTCATCCGCATTCTTTTATATATTTAAAGTGGTATTATTTTTTGAGAGTGTACGGACAGACACTTCTCAGCCCACTCACGGAAAGTTTTATAATTCACACTACTCTGCGAAAATTTCTTATACTTCTACCACTTTGAAAAAAGCGGGACAACGCCCACCCGCTAACAAAAGCCTGGCTACGCCACGATAAATAACACTCACGCTTTTGTAGAGTTCTCAAAAAGTTTTCTGAAGACCCCTTGTCACCCATAATTTCTCACTCAGATTAACTAAGAAATTGAGCAAAAAGTTGAAAGTTTTCTGTAGAGATCATAGTCATCCTTCAGGTACTCTAGAGAGCCTTTGAAAAACTAGGTTTTCTAGAAAACTCTTCCTTTTTTATAAAAATACTGAAAGTCAACGGGTTCAATAGAGAATTAAATTCTAAAGAAAATAAGACCGCCCCGAGGTTTCCACGACGTCCAGTTGGCAATGTATCCCCTTTTGATCTTTGGCATACCTTCTTCTCGGACTAAAACAGGTCTCCTTGGCAAGCCAAAGATCATAGAATTTTTTCTTTTTATTAAATTTGAGTCAATTGACAACTTTATTGAAGAATGACTTGACTGGTTTTGGCCAAAACTGTCTGATTGTCATTAAAATTGAGATATCTCGGAAACGGAGCAAAGTTTCGAAAAAGCTCTTGGTACTTTTGTAGCTCCCACTTTGGCGATTACTATGAAGTGTGAATAGAAGCTACATCTGTCAACAGGAAAAACAACGTAGGTTTACAAAATGAGAAATCGGTCTTTTAGTACCTACCATTAGCACAAAAAGTTTCCGGGTAAAAGTGCGTTTGTTTCATTTCAAACAAGCATTTTCTTATTCACTTTTGTACGACGAAAAAGAAAAACGTGGTTTGAAATGTTCAAATTCAAACCAGTATCCAAAGAATCAAACTTATTAGAAGTGACACCGCTGAAGCTTTTTCAATTTTTTGACCCCCTAAAAAAAGTATTTTAAAGGTTAAAACACGCATAGTCTTAATTAGCTCGATATGCTTCATCCAACCAAGTATAAATAAATGAGAGCAAAAATGGTGCTGAATTTTTGAATTAGTGGCACCTTACAGACAAGTAAGGAAGTAAATCTGCCTCTGGAAAAAATGCAAGTATCGGCTTCATTACGCAAATGAAGTACTTGAGCCCAAATAAGTTTACTAGTTTAGATGAAGTAATGGCGAATTCTTTCAAATTTTTAATTTATCGTTCTTCAGCCTAAATTTTTGCTTGAGTATTCTTTATTACTATTATGCTGTTATTTTCGTTTTTCAGATATTATTCAGCAAAGGAAAAAATGCAGTGGTTTAATGGCCCAATAATTGATGCTGTTCGTGAAGCTAAAACTTTGAATCGTTTATTTTTGGTTTATGTTCGGGATGACAGCAATGAATCGATTGAAATGGATAAACAATGGAAAGACGTCACCAATAAAGAATTAGAAACGACTGCATTATGTTTAGAAAAATCGAGTGAATCATGTGAACAATTTTCAGCTATTTACAAGGTTGATAAGTATCCGAAAGTATATTTGATAGGCGGACAAAACGGACGAGTACTAAAAACAATTGAACATGTGCAAAATGCTCAAGAACTTATTCAACACATAGAAGATGCCATACAGCAGATGAATCAAAGTCAAGTTCCGCAAGCACAAGCAACAACTGATGGAGATAATTCAACGGCAATTTCTGAAACAACAGAACAAAAAAAAAATAAAACTGTTGAAGAAAAAGTAATTATTCGTTTTGCTTTAAGAGAAAACTTTCACAGTTGATTTGTTTACCCATTCTCATTTTAGGTAGCTGAAGCACGTGCTCGTTTGAAACAATTACATGATCAGCGAGAGAAAGAAGCTAAAGAAAAAGAGTTGACAGATGAAATTGAACGTCGTCGTTTAGGTCAACAAATGCTGTTAGATAAACAGAAGAAAGAAGAAGAACAGATGAAAAAACATACTGAAGATTTAAAACGTCAAAAACTAGAACAACAAGCACAGCAAGAAAAAATAAAACAACAAATTCAACAAGATAGAGAAGAAAAACGGAAAAAATATGAAGTAAAACAAGAAGAACATCCCACAGTGATACAGAAAACAAATGTGCAATCGGAAGAGAAAAAGGTATGTACTAAAAAATATATATCGTTGATGCACATGGGAATATATTCTTGAAAGACGTTTAATGAATTAGTTTCTCGTAGAACATGTGTGTTTTGTTTCGATTTTAGGATGTCGGAGTGAAACCCGTTTATACCCGTGCTCGTTTACAATTTCGTTTAACTGATGGCTCTTATTTCACAGAAGATTTTCCATGTGATTCTAAATTATCGGTTGTATATGCTTACCTTGAACAAACTCTGCCTTCGCCACTCTATCGTAATGGAAATTATGTCCTACGTACAACTCACACACGTATTCAGTTAACACAGGCCGACAATGATCGAACATTAGCAGAATTAGAATTAGTACCAACAGCTGTGTTACTTGTTTTAAATCGAGCAAATGCTACATCATCGGGTATTTCTACACATTCTACGTCCCCAAGCACCTATTTAAATCCTACTGTTTTACTGCAAAATATACCTTTAGGTAAGTAGGATAACCGTGGGAAAAAATCGTGTTTATACCTAACAAATTTGTATCCTTTGTCCTACTTTAGTATTCACTTGGTTTTGGTCTCAAATTAATTTTCTTTATCAATTTGTCACATCAACTGTTTTTGGAGGTGGTCCTCCAACTAGCCAATCACGAGCCACACGAGAGACTTCACCTTTAAACAGAAATTCAAATGCAAATGCAGCGAGAGATGCTCAAGAAACGGTGCGAAAGCGACATATTGAAAAGACAAAAGACACGACATTTGTACAGGATGGTAACGCTAGTGTAAGACGTTTTCACAATGCTCAGGATGATGAAGACGATGAAGAAAAACGAACATGGAATGGAAATTCAACACAACAGATGTAACAACATTTATTTAATATCTTTGCAATTTTTTAGTTTCTCTGTCTTAACAATTTTTTTCTTGTTGTATCGAGATAGGATCAATATTATATATATATTTTTCTTGTTCAGCAAATCAATTTTATTTCAGAGTAAATAACTCAATTTTAACAGTGCTCTGTATTGTTTCATGGCACAATCTGTCATCTGAGAAAACGGCAATATGCCTTGTACATGCTAAGTTTCTCTTTAAAATTTCTTTACTCAGTCCAATACAAAAAGGTTTGTTTTGCTGTACGATAATCTCTCAACTGTGTGACTTTATAAGATTTCCATTACAATCCAAGGTTTTGTAGTAGCGGTCAACAGATTAAAAAAGATGGTTAAACAAACGAATGAATGAGTGAGTTTAGTATGAAATATAAATGTCACAAAAAGTAAAGAATTCGTGCTGAAATGGTATGTAACAGCAGTATGTACTACAATAAAAGAAAAGAAGTTTGAACAGAATGATTCTCCATATATAAAATCTATTATTGTGTTAAAATGATTTAGTCAAATACGGCAAAAAATTATTGAAAAAGTTATTCAGCAACTTTTTTCGTCTTACTGATGCGGACGAAACTATAAAATGCAGAATAACGTAGGCTAATACGAGTTTTTGTTATTGTGTAGTTCATTTTAAACGGCATATCTAAGTTAATTGGCATTCGTTTTCAAAATCAATCGCCACGAACATAGGTGGGCTTTGTTGTAAAACGTTATATTGAAATCTTTGTTTTTGTTAAAAGGTTTGTTTGCTTTTGAATAGAACATTCTTTTTTTCTATTAAAAACAGATGGTGCGCATACTGGAGTACAGAAATGCTTACTGAAGTCGTTAATAAAAAATAAATCACAACTAATGTATCTGTGTCATTAAGTAATACAAGCCATACTCTTCATGTAGTGTATAAGTTTGCTTGTAAGTATTCCATTAACGAGAAATTTATCATCTTATTTTAACACTTGTTAAATGTTTAATAAAATTTAGTTTTTGTTTCCACGTTTTAGTACACCATTCTAGATTTTATTTATTTTGTCATAGATGTTATGTAGCTAATATAAAGATCGAATCTCAAATAATGTCATTTTCGTTATCTACGTCTTCGCTCTCAACTTCATCGACAGTATCATCTATTTTTCATCGTGCTTCATCGTTTATAACATTTCGTTCCCCTTCTAAAACTCCACCATTAGATGGTGAAATTATATTCAGTAAAAATAATGTTTGTATTCATCCGCCGAGTCGACTTCATTCTCAAACATTACACCATCCAGGATATTTATGTATTAAATGTCAAAATAATCCAGTAAATAAAATACAATTTTCTTTTTTCTAGTTATAAAATTTTTTCTTTTTGTAGGCACTTGGTGCAACATTAATTTTGACATGGATTCCAAATTCAACATTGAAAAATCGAACGAAACAACAGCAACCACTCACACCAAATCAATCACGATCAATATCTTTATCACAATATGATTCGCCACACAACGGAGTATGTGCAAAGAACTTTTCAATTATATTATATATTGTCTGTTATCTACTCACCTTTATCTTCATATCCTCTAGAATTTTCTTACTTTATCTAGACTGTATCAGCTTCGACTCCTGTTCATTCAAAAACGCTTAATCTTCCAGATCATCAATTATCTGCCATTAGTATGATCGATAGCGATTATCATAGTGATCATCCTTCATTTACTTCATTATTTTCACCATCACCTCAGATTCAAGTTAATGACCATGAAAATGATCCTGATGATCATTTCGAAGATGCCTGTGATGAATCGAATAGGCATGAATCAGTTATATCGGAAACGACGGAAGGTCCCGATGAACAGAATGATATTGAAATATTTACCGATCTCGACGATAATGATGATGATGTTCTAATCACTGATGAACATGAACAACAGCCACCAATTCTCAAAACAACGTCATGGAAAGATGTAGCAGGTATCTATGAACAACACAATGCATTATTAATAGAAGATGATTCAATGGTACATGGTACAGAACAAATGAAATCAGTTGCAGAACAATTTTGTGGAGTATTTTCAGTGAATTTAGGTGAATTTATCTAATATCTATTTCAAAAGTAAACGTTTTCATCTTTTCTATCTATTTAGGTCAAATGCGTTCATTACGTTTATTTTATTGTGATGAATTAACCAACAGTGGTCAATTAGTAATAGCCTCGTGTGAAAGTCAATATAAAGTGCTGCATTTCCATCAAGGTGGATTAGATAGATTAACTAATGTATTTAATGAATGGAATATATTTGCAGTAGAAAAAGTAATTCAATATTCTTCTAAAAGAGTTGTTTAAGTAACCTTAGAAGAAACTGTTAGTCAATTTTCGTCAAAAATATCGATTTCGAGATTTATACATGGTTGCATAGCCCAAAGTGTTTACTTTCAGCATTTATATCGCTTTCTGCCCCAGACATAAATTTTCAGGATTTCAGAGGAAATATCGAGAAATAAAATATTTGATTCTAGCTTTTTCTACGATATTCACGCAATTAAACCATTTTCTAGGCACGTAGATTTATAGAGCAACCTTTTCTGGTCGGAATGAGACACGACGTTTTACTTGAAATCGTTCTTTTGAGTTTTAACTGTTCGAGTAGCAAAGATTTACTGCTAATGGTCGCTGTCATTACAAGTTGTTCGAGCTAGATTTTGCTTTTCAATCTAGTTCTTGAGGAATAGGAAGTTTTTGAAAAGTTAGTCGAAACTTTTTTCTTAAAAGCTTTGAGAAAACTAAATAAAAAGAAATTTGAAAAACCCGTCTCTATTGAAATCAATATTTCCGGATTAAATCTTTAGTGTCATCTTTCTAGGATAAGACATATTCTTCGAAAATTTTATCTAGATCGGATATTGTGAGACAAAACGATGCTTTTGTCAGTGGGATGAAGAAAGCGGAATAGTTATTATTGGTTTTCACTTTTTTGTTTACGTATTCTTTATTTGTGTATTTTTTAACTGTTAAGTTTGATGAGTTATACAATGATTTTTTATTAATATTAATGTTCTCTTTATTTAGGCAAAAGCTGGTTTTTCAAATTGTCATCAATTTAATGTTGTTCATCCCACAATCGATTTAACTGATTTACATCCAGAAGAAGGTTGTTATCATCTAATAACGGCCGATGTTTGGAAAACATATTTCAGTGCACATGGAGAGATACAGGATAATTATCAACTAAGAAAAGTAAAAAAATAACATACTCTTTGCTTTTTTCGTTAATGAACAATATTTTTTTACTTTAGTCAATTTTTTTTGGCGGTATTGATTCTTCGATATCTCGTCATGTTTGGCCATTTTTATTGCATTTATATCCGTTTGATTCAACTTACGAACAACGAGAGACAATTTGTCATCAAAAATATTTACAATATCAAAAAATCAGAGCAAAAAGGTACAAAGTTATCTTTATTTTATTGGTCATTTAATATAAAAGAAGTTGATTACATTTTTATAGAGATTTAGCAGCGAATGATCCCGATCAACTGCAATTTACTCATGATGTGGAATCAATCATAGAAAAAGATGTTGTGAGAACTGATCGTTCGAATCCATACTATAAAGGAGATAAAAATCCAAATTTACAACTGATGAAGTATGTTATGTGTAATCCGTGGTGTCTACAGATCTATTAAAAGTGTCTCCATATTATTAGAGATATTCTGATGAATTACGCTTTCTATTGTCCAACAATGGGTTATAGTCAAGGTATGTCAGATTTATTGGCACCCGTATTAGCTGTTATACAAAATGAATCGGATACTTTCTGGTGTTTTGTTGGATTAATGAACAGAACAATATTTATTAGTACACCAACAGATGATGTTATGGAAAAACAACTGGTATATCCTATACACTATCCATTGATAACAATGACATTTTATTTACATTCTATTTTATCTAGAGATATTTACATGAATTACTTCGTTTAATGTTACCTGATTTTTATTGTCATTGTTTAAAACAATCGGATGGATTAGATTTATTATTTGTTCATCGATGGATTTTACTGTGTTTTAAACGTGAATTTCCCGAATTTGGTCTGTATTGGATGGATGTAGACTAATATTTTTTTATATTTTATTTTGTTATTTAGAGGCATTGCGTATGTGGGAATCATGTTGGGCTCATTTTCAGACAGATTATTTCCATTTATTTTTATGTATTTCAATAATGGCCATCTACGGCGATGATATTGTTCAACAACAATTAGGAACAGATGATATGTTATTACATTTTAATAGTTTAGCCATGCACATGAATGGACATATTGTACTTAAAAAAGTATGTAACACTTATTACGGATCGAAAGCGTTTCTAGAGAAAAGCTATAATAAAGGGAGATATCTCAGTCTATAACCTTTTTCATATAAGACTGGTTTTATGCAAATAATTAAGCAACAAATGAGTTTGTCTTTTTATTATAGGCTCGTAGTTTATTATATAAATTTCGTTTATTACCTCGTATTCCATGTGTCCTTCATGATATCTGTACGTTATGTGGCCCTGGTATGTGGGATAGTATTCACGTACCACAAGTCTATTGTATATGCACAACTAATCAAGAAAAAGAACGCTGTCCATTCAGTGGAATATGTTTATAAACAAATTATATTATAAGAAATTTTCTCGCGATTTCTAGTCATTTTCTAATCTTTTACTTTTCATTCTTATTTCTTTTTATGTAAACGAAAGTTTTTCAACAAAGAATCTCACGAAATGATATATCAGTTTTTAATAATGTAGTGTTTTTTGATAAACTTCAGTATATAGATGATTACAAATACGAAAGTTTTTCTTTTACGAGCTTTCGCTCTCTCCAAGAGTATCATCAGGCAATTTTTTATTTCATTCAGAAATAAAAAATTGCCTGATGATGCTCTCACAAAGTGATGCCTAAACTGTGTCTTATCTCTCTGTAATGATATTTTTGACTCACTTTTGATCAACACTATTCTATTCTCACTTAGAAATTTAACGAGTTTATAAACGAATATTTCTGACGTTCTAGAGAATTTTTTTTTTCATATTTGTTACTAGAAAAAACAACCGTTCTGAATAAACGAAAACATCTAACTTTTTTATACTAAAGAGATTTTTTATATCATTCATGCGTGTGTCGTTTGTTACTTCTTACTCATCTATGCATTATCTCAGTGTTCCATATATTTTTTTTCTTCAATATTCAACAGGTCCAAGTACTATATATATAGTTATGTTTCAAGATTTCATTTTATTTATTTTTCGAGCAAATGTATCGCTGTTATATGTTCAGATTTTCTTCGTCATTATGAGCTTGTTTGTTTATTTTTAAAAAAACAAAATCTTAGTAGAATAAAATGCATATTAAAAAACATAAAATCTTAGTAGAATAAAATGCATATTAAAAAACATATATTATTTATGCCAACGGTCATATAATCTCTTTGTCTATGAATCAATCTAAGACTTTCATTTCATACTGTCTGATCTAATTATCCTGCCATAATGGGCAATAAAGGGGAAAAAATATAAAAGTGAACATTTTATATTTTTGAATAGCGAATGATGAACTCTGATCTCTGGGCTATCGTTTCCTGTTATAATAGATTTCTAGTTTAGTTTTGAATTATCGAAGAAAATCTTACTTTTCCGTGCTAAAGAGATTTCTAAAACTAGTTCTTCAATATAATAAGTTTCCAGAGCGTCAGTCTGCTTCAAACTTTGTACTTCTTTGTATTTTTCTACATGTAGCACGTTGATACTCTGCAAAATTTCCACTTTAATTCCCCCCTCTACAGTGTATTTTTCGAAAATCACATAAAAAGACCAAGTTGTCTACTGTGTCTGTACAACTATGATTGTTAACAATATAGACATGAACACTATTATTAACAGCATAACAGACGAACACATGTAGAACTTAATTTAAAAGTATTGTATTAAGAAAAACATTGTATTTTCTGGACTTATATCATACTCACTTGCGACTCCTGTTGTATTCAGGAACATGAAGCGGACGGATTTGTATGGAAGTACCTCAGCAATTGTACGCCCCAGAAGCGTTTTTATGCAATGAAAATGACATATTCAGAATCAGCGCAAGAAACTGCATCGAATAATGTGCGATTAGTAAGTTTTTCTGACCAAAAATGTGTTGGATCTAACGAAACGCTAAACTCGAAGCGTAGAGTCACAATTTTGGCTAAGGATTTTTGATATTTGCTATAGAAGCAGTCCGAAAGTCTATAAACACTTTTTTTTATAGGTTTTCAGATATGCTCTTTCCAATGATGCGCTTTATAAAGTTTGATGAATGTTACCTTGTTGTTTAATGATCACCTGATTTTTCCTACGATACGTTATGGCAAGTAAAACGATGAATATGTTGTACTTATCACTCAGTTACTCGCCATAACGTATGTAGCCTTTTAATCCTCTTAATTTTATTTTTAAAAAACTTCTCGCAGACGTAGGATCTTTCTTGGAAAAAAGCTTGTTTTATCCACTGCTGTTTTCTTTCGGCACACCTCCCTTGAACGATTAGGATGAATTGGCAGCATTTCTCTCAAACCTATTGTTTTTGTCATCGATTTTTACTTTGGACATTTTTAAAGTCTCGGCTAGGCTTTTCAAATCTCTCCTCCAACTATCGATTAAAGATTTTTTCTTACGTCTTGGGCCCTAGCTATGAACCTATGAGGATTGAAGATGTGGAACCCGACCCGAAGGTTGAGTATGGGCAGAAGTTCACCGGTACGGATTTCGTTTTTTCTAATCTACTCGAAAACCAGAAGGTTTTAGTGGATAATTCAAGATTTTATTTCTGATGTTTTAAAAGAGTTACTTAAGAACATAATGATAACCTGACATCTCCAGCCGAAGTTTTTGGCTGGAAAACGAAACGGAAAAAATTTTTAGGCGTACGTCGAGTATGGATACGAAGTTGTCGGGTCGGGTACGGCCGAAAAAACGTTTTCGCGTCGGGAACTGATAGGAAAACGGTATCCGTGCACATCTCTTATAAGGATAGATATACTGCTCAAGATATGAGTAAGATAACTTAGGCATAAGACTAACTAATTTTTGTCACCTTTTACGTTCATTGTTGAACTTTCTGCTTAACTTTTGTCAGAGACTGTCTCGACCCAGGAGAAGTCATATTCCCTTCTTCGCACAATCACATGCGTTTTCTACACATCAGAAACAAGGCATGTCCCTCTGCACATGTTCCGTCAGAGCTGTTTCCTCATGATCTGTTACGTCACAAGTAAAACAACGAGTTGCGTTTCTGTTGAGTCTTGATAGCAGAAACGAAAAACACAAAGCAGTGATGTCGTTATGAAAGCACTTAAATGACGTTGGCAAAAACCTCGTGTCTATTCAGTCGTCTCATTACAACTGACAGCAGAATGAATACAAACGTTGATTTAATATTCCAAAGAGAGATGCGGCATGACTTATCAGACCGATTGCTCAGTACTTGTGGCAATGATGAATGTTTGAAACAAGCACAGAATGCTAAGTTGATCATGTGTTCTTCAACTACATTCATTGCGGCACACACAAACCTGATGATTGCAATGTGTTGAGAATAGTGGAGAGAGAGATGACATCTATAGTCAAGACCATAGTAAAAATGCTAATGGCTGGCCATCCGTCCATATTAGCCTGGGAGGATAGAACAGTGCCTAATACTGAGAAGAACCATCACTCAATGTGACATTGCGGTGGTGACTATTTTTACTGACCAACTGACTTAACCCTTAAGAGCCGAACGTCCCTTCCAAGGGACATTTGAATAAATGCAGTACAAATCGTAAGAAGACTTTTGAAACAGAAGTGGATATTTTTCTGGGCTGAGATGATCTTGGTGGTCATACTGACATCAAAATAAAACCTTCAA